CAAATATGTATTGGTCATAATGGAATATGATGATATTTGTTTATTTTTGCAGAAATACAGTTTTTAATTAAATGCATTGAAGAGTTCATTGTTTAGTTCAGTGAACACAATTCGTCCCAATTATTTCATTGCAAATCAGCTAATGAAGAGAATGTACATACAGCAAAGAATGCACATGTCACTTTAATAAGCTCAAAAATCATGCTAATGCAGAGTTGTTTGTTAATGCATGTGCCAAAGATGTTTTGCTTTTTAAGTGCCTCTTTCCCTATTTAACTGAATTGTAAATTAACGGGAAATTGGCAGAAACGTTTTTTTAACATATATATATAAACTTAGCAACAACAATAAGATGATAATGATTTCAACCTTGGCGGCTTGGGGAAAATGCTTTCATCCAACAGTGGACTGACCATAGCTGATGATGAGTGTAAGATTGGTGGCGCTGTGGTTAGTGCGCTACACTCTGAACTGGTGATCTCAGTTCCAATTCCTGGCTAGTGATATCTGAACTGATCTTGAGCTTCCCCTTTACCAACCGACACTGGCAATCATGGTAGAAGATGGTCAAACTTCTCCTACAACTCACACAATATGTACAGTGGACCCCATCTAGCAGTGGATTAGAATAAAGATATAATTAATTATACGGTACAATGAAATGTTGCACGTTCACAACAACCGCGTGCAACCACATTTCTATTTTGACTAATTGTTATACTGTTGATGTTTTCTCAATATGGCTATGTTGTTATTTTGCTTAAATCAATTTCATACTTCATTAAGAAGATAGTAAAGTTAATTTGGTATTGCATCCAAGCGAAGAAAGTTAATCATGTACCGGTAAAGTCACTTTGAATAATATTTTGCAAACAAAACTTGTTTGAAGGAAATTCACATTTGTAACAAGTGCAAAACATATACGTTAACTCCTTATACACAAAGTATTCATTGTTGCAATGTACCAATGTAAATTAATTAATACAGAAATCGTTAAGTTTATGGTTGTACAGGACATACCTGGGCATTCCGAGCTTATATATTTTACATGAAATATTGGCATCTAACATAAAAAAAAATTATACATCACGTCACAAACAAAGAAAATATATATATAGTCACGTAGAAAGAAAATAAATTAAATAATTTAAATTTCTTTCTACGTGACTTTACCGAAAGAACCAAAGAGTAATTCCTGCCGTCACGAAAGCTTCGAATCTAGTTCAAAAGATATATAGTTGAGATGGAATTATAATGTTAACTTTTTCAAAAAATTCCCTTTGCTACAAGTATACAAATATGTGTATAGTAGAACAAGAGTGATGTTTTTTGTGAACTATATATATAAACATGAGACAGGATGGTGCTTTTCACAACTGTAATTCAAAGCAAAGTTGTGTTTTTTTACGTGGACACATGCTCACTTGATCAGCTGTTTAGATAATGTACACGTCCCAACATAAACGTTTGAGATTCATAGCAGAGCACACTTTGACTTTTACATTACTCCCAGCATTCATAATTGATGTTGTTGTTTCATATTTACACAAAAGTTTTTTACACGCTTTACCAAGATTATCTACATCTATGGCAGAATAACTCTAACAGTATAAATATACATTACCGTGTCTTTTTATGAATTTAAGTGAGCAATTGCTTCCCTTTTGATGCATGTTTAATGGATTCCTGCACCAGTCATCAATAAAGACCCTGAATAGAAAATATGACCTTAATTTATTCATGCTCTATATATTAATAAGTTTGTATCCATTACAATTTAATAAAACAAAACAGTGCTGTATACCACGTGAAATAAAGAATATTACAATGTGTAATTTAAATGCATGAAAAATAACAATATACAAAAATAGCCACTTTAACTGAGATATTACACAGATGCACATCAGCTTGCTTTCCAATTCCTGCAATGTTTACAAAATTGTCAAGATGCTCTCCACAGCAATAATGAGAGAAATTGCCCAAACATGCACAGCCATGTATCGACATAAGTACTTCAGAAAGCAACTTACACACTTCCAGCTGGATAGTCTGCAGGATATGATTTTTTTTATTATCTACTATATATCACATGGTCACACCTATCCGAGAAAATTGGTGGATTTCTTGTCATCTATATATATATATTCTTAGCAATCTCCTTTTTTGTCGCAACCTCACTGTTTGATGTCAATGTGATTGAGGTAAGGTGAACGCACCCGCAGACCAGCATGCCGATGGTATGGTAAAAAAATTAACCCGTAAAAACTAAGTTTTTCACTCTAAATCCTTTATATGCGTGGCGGCTAGAGTCCTCTCGTCCTCTGGCTTGAGATGGCTGCCACCTATGGGTCAGATGATTGTCTGCCAGCATTAAGAAATTGGTAATTAAATATTTTAAAAAATTTCCCTAAACAGTGTAAAATTTTGGAAAAATTTTCATGAAAATTAATTGTCACGCACAACGAGTGTGTGTGGAAAATGTCAGCTCGATTGGATCACGGGAAGTGGGTAAAAAACGACCGAAAGATTTGCACGATCGTAAGCAAGCAAGCAAGCACGCAAGCACGCAAGCAAGCAAGCAAGCGAACTTAATATAAAGGATTTAAAAAAGGACCGACATGGCGTGGAAGTCCTTCATCATTTGGTGGATTGAGAATGGCGGGATTGTATTTTATATTGTCGCCTATTGTGGTGGAGTGGTTATTAGCACATTTCGCTATGAACCCGGCAAAGTTGAGTTCGATTCCCGGCCACAGGAAATCAGTTGCGAGTGATATTTAAATTTGTCCTGGGTCTCCCCTCTCCATCAACCCACACTGACCAATACCAAGGTCAAACAACACTCATGACTGGCAAGGTGTGGGGAAGCCTTCATATTCCAGTGGATTGAAAAAGGGTTATACGTTACTCACATGCTCTCCATTATGTCATGTGCTTAAAGCGACGTGCATGACACACTAAAGGTACAGTGCCTTTTCGGCTCAGCGCAACGATCAACCATAGACCATGCTACACTGCCTAACACAATATTCTTCGCTTATCATTTGTTTTCTTATGTATAATCACTGTCCACATGATGATCAAGAATGTATTCTGCTATTGTACATTATAAGCAAGGTTAAATTTAGATTCCAGGACACACTTTGGAGAGAGAGATGTGATCAACCCTGGGTTTACTATATAAGTCCATAAAAAAATATCGTGAAGATAATTTACACGAAAAAATGCACAACAGTCAAAGTGCAGTTTTAATTTAATAGACTACAAATTTGTCATTTTAATAACGAGATACAAGCCCAAGTATTTATAATTGAGAATACAATTAACTGCTTGTTTCCAGAAATTCAGGAAGGCATTAACTACAAATGTTAATATGTTGACATAATTTGTATTGTACATGTTGTAATGATGAATAATATCTGTGTTTCATTAAAATAGCATGAATAGTTTTACCTTTTACCGAGATCCAGATGTGATTTTTTAAAAGAGCTAATTTATTGCCTTCAACGAAACACATCAAAAGCGAAGCAGAAACTATTTAAAAACCATAACATTATGAATAAACAGCACCTTTGATTAGCACATTTGGCTGGTGTGAAAGAAGTTCAACATACAATAAACCATACATATGTAAAACCAATACATTAAAATAATCCAATGCATTTTAGCCAATCAATATGAGATCATAATAATTAACATCACTTTGAAGACCTCTTCATTTCATGTCAGTCGTGGGAGTTGTTTGACCATACTTCATGCTGGTCAGTCTGCACCGATGATCATGGCTGGGAATCAAACTCAGGATACGAAGTGCATAGTGCAGTGAACTAACTACTGCACCAATGGCCAACTGGAATGGATATGCTGTAGATTAATATTTGGAAGGGATTTTACAGATAGCTTTTCATTGTTTTTAATTCCCACTCTCAGAACCAACTGTAAATACAATCATGGACAACCCCGTCTCCTGTCTGCACGGTTTGTCCAGTTTTTTCAGTATGATTTTCAATTAGCAGCTGTACTTTCGGTCTCATTTTTTCTGCCGGTCCCATGTGTACTCTCTATCCTGTTTGTACTCCTCTTCCCACGTGATATTATTTGTGCTCAGTCTTGACCGTCGGTACTCTCTGTACTGCCCATCCCATGGACATGAGTGTCTTGCTTGTCCTCCCATGCCTGTGTATGCTGTATGTCTCATTTGTGTTGACTGTCTCATTTATATATTTTTGTCGCCTCTACAGTAATTTCGTTCAAAATCCAGTCCTGATGCCTTCATTTTCTTCTGCCCAGCCACCGCAAGCCCAAATAGCTTTTGTTCGGTCAGATAGAGGGGTCTCAACGAGCTCGTCACGGGCTAGAGAAGAGATGGAGTGATGTGGCACGAGAGGATGTGGAGCTGAGTGGACTTGCCAATGACTGGTACCAGCGGTGTCAAGATCGGCCTCTGTGGAGGAGGTTCGTGAAGGACGCTGCTGGGCAGTTGGAGGCAGTCGCCCTCCAGCAACGGAGGGCAGAGAAGCGACTCTCACAACAACGAGCAGAGCACCAGGCGGCTATAACACAGCAAGTTGGTACAGTAGGGGGCACAGGTGGTGCATCGGTCAGTCATCTCAGTCAGCCAACACATGGCACTTCACGTGGCCTTAAAGTGCACATAGCCTGACACACGCGCTGCGGTGATGTCACCGCCACTTGGTGTCGAATGGTGGTTTTTGTTGTTGTGTTTGTACAGCATCTTGAGATGCAGTTGCATTCACAGCCGATATTATCAGAAATGCTTTATTAAAAAATTATGTAGAAATTACAATTTCAACATATAATTATAAGCACAAAGGCTGCACGTTCACCAAGGAGCATAACATGTCGTGTAGAATGCATTTTTAAATACTTTGACAATACGAATTTACAATCATAGTCTCTAAACCATGCATCATAAGGACACGTATTTAACCTCTCCCCCACCCACCCCCATCTCTCTCGCTTTTTGTTTTTCTGCACAGCGGTGGAGAGTCTGCTCTCGAGATTGCCCGATTTTTGTTCGAGATGGACAACGTGACGAGTCTATCGGTGACGCGACGCATCCTCTGGCAAGTCGATTACGACAACAGGGGTCCCATTCTGGATCAAGACCGCATCATCACGGAGCTGACCGTCACTCAGAGGGACATCACTGCGATAAAGATAATCCCAAAGGTGTGAAAACGTTTGAAACGAAAATTGCTTGAAACCAGCCTGACTGTGTGTGTTTTTTGGGGGGGTGTGTTTTTTTGTCTCGCAGGAAATCATGCAGCTATAAAATTCACACAGCATTCGCACTGTTAACCGAATGACCCCAGATGACCCATTGTGCTTGTGTGCGTGCCTGTTGTTTTTAGTGTTATTATCTAAGTGGTTGCAGTGGCTCTACTCGGTTCCCTTGATTGTTTAGCCATGCATTGATCACCAACACCGCAAATAGCCAGCCAGCATTGATCTTTGAAAAAAGACATCCTGAGGAGTCTGCATCAAAATACTAAACACTCGAGGCTGCGCGCTCGTGTGCATATAATGCATTTCGACGCTCAAGCTAATTTGAAAGGGGGCCGGTGCATATCACAGGAAAAAGTGTTGCAATTGTGTAAGCTTGTGAAATCGAGCATTATGTGGCCCTCACCGATTATGGATTTCTCTTTTTTTTTTGCAAATTTAGTTTAATTACGAGTTAAGTTTTAGCACATTCAAATTCAATAAAACACACACGTTTGTAAATTGAAATTTTCAAAAATACGACTATTGGGTAAACTTTTCTTACAATTAATTTCTTATTATTAAATGGTACACAGTTAATTTCTTAGTGATTTTTGTTGCTGTTCATATATTGTATCTGTTAAACATTACATGAAAACGTGAGGCATGGGCATTGTAGCTGAAAGGCTTTTAAAAAGTCAAGGCTCGAGCCATTTTCTGGAAGTAATTGAAATGTACTTTTTTACATTGTGTAGAAAATAATTATGTAGGCATGTTTGTTTACTTTATCATGGCCTAAGGGCCTTGGTGCTACTAATGCAGTCACAAAAAAATCCCCACCGAATTTCCTACAGTTAGCTACTATGATTTGAAGCTTTCGTGACTGCAGGAATTACTCTTTGGTTCTTTCAGTAAAGTCACGTAGAAAGAAAATAAATTAAATAATATAAAACGACGTTTCGATTGCAACACAAGCAGTCGTCATCAGGTAGAACTAAATTTGAGAAAGAGACAAAACACAAACACGGAAATACACAGACAGACACACAAGCAGAGAGAGATAACACAGAGACACACAGAGAGAGACACACAACATAGACACACAGAGACCCAATGCCTCTGTGTCATGGCCTTAAATAGAGAGAGAGGGGGAATAGGGCAGAGTGAGAGGTGGGTCTGCTGGAGCAGAGAAATTAGCATTACATTTCCAATTTTTTTTTGCTAAGTTTGTTTTCTCAAACTACCTATTTCTATCTCTTAAAACTTACCAGGCTCTCATAGGTCCTCGCTCTTTCTCTCCCCCAGCCGCTTCGGGGTGAATTTCCACACAACTCTCTCTAAATTTACCAGGCTTGCTGGGTCTTTCTCTTCCCCTGCTGCCGTGGGGTGGATTTCCACACAGCTCTAATTTAGCAATCTTTGGAGAACGTAATCAACCAGACTATGCGTTAACTGTGTGTTAGCCGACTCTCTGCGTTGCATTGCATTACATTTTCCAAAAAATACTAAGTTTGTTTTCTCAAACTGCCTATTTCTCTCTCCAAAATTTACCAGGCTCTCATAGGTCCATTCGCTCTTTCTCTCCCCCGGCCGCTTCGGGGTGGATTTCCACACAGCTCTCTCATTGACATGCTAATATCTCTGCTCCAGCAGACCCACACCTCTCTCTCTGCCCCCCCCCCCCCCCCTCTCTCTCTATTTAAGACCATGACACAGAGGCATTGGGTCTCTGTGTGTCTATGTTGTGTGTCTCTCTCTGTGTGTCTGTGTTTTGTCTGTTTCTCAAATGTAGTTCTACCTGATGACGACTGCTTGTGTTGCAATCGAAACGTCGTATTCTATTATTTAATGTATTTTCTTTCTACGTGACTTTACCGAAAGAACCAAAGAGTTAGCTACTATATTTGCGTCATAAAACATATTCTGCATAAGTGATTGCATTGAGTTTTTTTTTTCATTTTGATTCGTATGATTAATTAATCGTAGAGAATTGTGTGCAGAAAAAAAATATTGTGAAATGAAAGTACCTGCAAATCAGAAACTCTTATTACAAAGTGTATGGAGTAATTCCTCTTTTCCAATATTGAGAGTTCCACTCCAATACAAAATGCAATTGAACCACAAAATAAATGTATTTTTAATCTCCTTCAGAATCATTACATATTGTAAAATCAGAATTCCTTGTAAATAAATTTATTATCAAACCACACGAAGAGACGATTGCCATGAATCACAGTGAGAAGGAATAATGGTCAATTATAATTATATCTCTTCGAAAATGTCTTCATACAATATAGTGATTGGCAAACTGAAACCACCTTGTTGCAAACTAAACGTCACGAACTCCAAAAAAGATGTCCACAACTTGACAAGGGGGCAATGACAAGCATATGACACTCGTTTTAATTGCCCATTAAAGGAATGTTTTGATTGGTATTTTAATCAAATACATTTCTTATTCATTGCTCTGAAAATGGAAATTTCCCTATCAATAACAAAAAAGGTATTGTTCAATTATTCAACTTTATTATAACACTGATGGTAAGCCGAGTCACTGCAGCAAATTATAGCATTAATTTTGACTTAAAACTTTTGTGACTGCAAGAATTAATATTCTTGGTTCTTTCGGTAAAGTCACATAGATAGAAAATAAAATTAAAATAACAGATAATAAAATTAAATAACATAAAATAAACATTCTACAATGGAACATTCTACAAAGAAGCTGAAGGCACCCCAATGGGTTCTCGCTTATCTCCGGTTGTGGCCAACATTTTCCTAGAAAATTTTGAGATGGACGCCATCCAGGCTTCCACTCTACGCTCGTCCTCGTGGAAGAGATACGTGGATGACACGTTTGGCATCTGGCCACATGGCCGACCGGCTCTGAAACAATTCCTCAACCACATCAATTCCAAACACCCAACAATCAAATTCACCATGGAGGTAGAAAAGGATGGCATGCTAACTTTCTTGGAAGTCTTAATCAAAAAGAGACCAGATGGCTCATTGAGCCACTCTACCCATATTCACGCCTACCTAAAACCTGATTCCCACCACCATCCATCCCAGAAGAATTCCCTCATCAAAACGTTACACCATAGAGCTCAATGTATCTCCGACCATGAACACCTGACCAATGAACTCAAACACGTACACCAGGCTCTCAAGGCGAATGGATATTCTGACTACACAATCCGCAAAGCCATCACCCCAGCCGTGAGGAAGAAGCCATCTGAAGATCCAATCAAAACCATCACCTTGCCTTACATATCAGGGATAACCAAAAGGATTTCCAAAATCTTGAACAAACACAAGATTCAGGTCCGATTTAACACAGTGCATAAAATTCGTGATCTGATCCCATCTGTGAAGGACACGATTCCTGACTTGCAATATCCCGGCGTCTACACACTAAGCTGTATCTGCGGCAGCAGTTACATTGGGGAAACTAAACGCCATGTCTCGGACCGTGTTCGTGAACATAAGGCAGATCTGAAACACGGCAGGACCAATACTTCTGCCGTGGCTGATCATTGTTTTAATGTGGCTGGCTCACACGAAATTGATTTCTCTAAGACGATGGTACTTGACAAGCTGACTGGCTATCAACAAAGATTTGTTCACGAAGCCATCCATATATACAGACACAGACACAATTTCAACCGAGATGACGGTTTTAAACTCAGCAATCATTGGAAATATGTCATCAACCACTTCGGGTCATGACTTTATTTGTGTTTTCTTGTCAACCTCTACCATCAGCAGTGTGGATGGGTGTAGCGAGGTGCAATGCCCCCCCCCCCCCCATCTCTACCCCCCTCTCTCTCCCCGATCTCTACCCTCTTCCTCCCCCCATTATCTAACACACTTGGACTGCGCCCTCGCCTTTCAGCCCCCCCCCCCTCTCTCCCCCTGTCTCTGATCCCCCCCCCCCCTTCTCTCTCCCCCTGTCTCTGCCCCCTCCCTCCCCCCATTGTCTCCTACATTTGCGCTGGCTGCCCCGCCCACTTTGAAAGCCCTTATAAGCAGTTGCATTTAGAGCAGCGGTCGGGAACCTATGGCTCGCGAGCCATATATGGCTCTTCCAGTGACTGCATATGGCTCCCAGCCAATTTTGAGTTGAAAAAAAAAGAATACAAAAAGAAAAAAGAAAAAATCAGTTTGGAACTGATTTTAAAATACTTGTGATATTGCTTAATAATACTGTGTCATTTTAAAGTAAACAGAAATTAGTATTGAAGATAAATTTCACGGGTCACGCCTGCATGAAGCTCAACCAGACCACGTATGAACCAGACTACAAGGCCATCAGCAAAACCATGCAGCACCAGAAGTCGCATTAAAAGTAAGACATATTTAATTTATTATACGTTAAAAATACTATATGGCTCTCAATGAAATATATTTAGAAATATTTGGCTTTTATGGCTCTCCCAGTCAAAAAGGTTCCCGACCCCTGATTTAGAGGCTTGCCCCCTCTTTTGTCTCCGCCTGATGAAGATCGCTTGTGTTGCGATCGAAACGTCGTGGGTTTTTTGCTTTTATTTTCAAATTATTATTATTTTTTATCTTACTTAATTTTATTATGTCATTTTTATTTAATTTTCTATCTACGTGACTTTACCGAAAGAACCAATAAGATGATAGCATTAGTATTCAGGCATGCATGCTGTAATGTACATATTTTTTTCCCTGGCGTCTGGCTTCCACAGCATTTGTCTTGTAAATATAATGGTAATTAGAGGGGCATATCCAAACCACTTTTTTCACAGTACAACAGAGAACCGGCAGAACATAAATGTCTTCACCGTGATGGCCGATGCCCACATTTAAATTGTCACACTGCATATGAAAAAAATTCAGAAAATTTAGACTTACATAATTTTACGTGGGCAACTAGGTGCTGGCAGAAATGTGTTTTGATTGAATACATTTAAAGTCGAGTTATTATGTTTCAATGGATG